ACTCTTTCCTGCCTATGCAGGGGGTCGGACTCGATGATCTATTGAGGTCCCTTCCGACCCTAGCATCTATGAATCTACGAATCTATGAATAGACATTAGAGGTACATTGATATATCAGTCCATATGGTATCAACACCGATAAAAGGAAAATTGACATTAAACGCAATCAGCCTTTTTTGGCTGATGTGGCTGATAATGTCACTGATAAATGTTACGCGTGTGTGCACAGCTGCAGCATGCACACGAGGTCTGTGCGAATAAGGAAGTATTTGATTCGGATTTGGCTAATTCGGAGGACACTGATTCAATTCGGTGATTCATATCACTGTCCCCATTCAATTTGGTCAAATCAGAATTGGAGATTCGGATCAGCTGGGGACAGGCAAGCAGAGCTGGGTGGCTGCAAGCCCTCTCACAGCTCTTCTAGGTGTGCCTGCCTCCCCCTGGGCGGGGGGAGCCATGGGAGAAGCCCCCATAGCTGCCCTGCCCAGCCACATCCCTCGCCTGGCCGAGCCTCCCAGCACTTAAAAAACTAACTAAATAAATAAATAAAAAGCACCCCACACTCACTGGCTGTAGCAGCTGTGATCAGGGCCTCTAAAGGCTTGTGGCAGAGCCCCCTGTATAGCACAGGGATCACTCCCCACACCTGGCACCTGCGTGGCAGCTGTCACATTGCACGGGAGCAGCGTGGCTCAGCAGGACGCCGCACACTGTCTGGGAGCTGGGGCAGCTCCAGCAGTCAGCCGGAGCCTGGCAGCGCTCAGCCCCAGCAGCCCCAGCTCCCAGACAGCACACGGCGCTGCACACACACCATTGGGGAGTTTCCCCACAGGTGCCAGGTGTGTGGGGGGGCAATCCCTGCTGCCCCCTGTTGCGCAGGGGGGCTCTGCCACAAGTCCTCAGAGGCCCCAATCGCCGCTTCTGCAGCCAGTGAGTGCAGGGGATGGGGCCGAGGAGGACAGCCATGGGGGCTTCTCCCATGGCTCCCCCCACCCAGGGAGAGGCAGGCACAGCCAGAGGAGCTACAGGAGAACCTGCAGCCACCCAGCTGTGTCTGCCTCTCCCTGGTTGATCAGGATCAATTCAGAGGCTTTGAATTTGATTCAGACCTTTTAATAGGTCTCCTGATTAGATCTGGATTCAGAGATTTGGTTGCCGAATCGGGCTGAATCTTCTCCAAATCAAATCGGCAACTGAAGCTTCAGAGCCCTAATGCACACAGCCAGGAGTGCAGCCCGACAGTACTGTTCAGCCAGTAAGTCTGTTGGGGGGGGGGGGGGGGTGTCAACTGAGGTCCTCTTGGTGAGGGAGAGGGTTGGGGTGGGGCAGGATATGGGACAGAGCCATGGCTCATCCAGGGGGCATGGGCAGGTGCCCCCCCAGATCTGCGTGCGGGGTGAAGGTGGGCTGCCGCTATGCGCCTGGGGCTGGAGGCTGTTCTGGGCTCTTCCTCAGGAGGTGGGAAGAGCCCAGTACTTGCAGTGGATGGTAGTGGTGCTGGGCAGAGGGGCTACAGAGAAATGAAATGGCTGTAGCCCATTCCATAGCTGCCCCTCCCAGTGCTGCTGCTGCCTGCTCCAGTGCAGCTGGGGCCCAGCCCCCACCCCCGCTAGGGAGAGCCTTGCACAGCCTGCGTTCCTGAGCAGGTAGCAGCATCCTGCCCTCGCCCATGCCTCCCCTATGTGGAAAAACTTCATTATTGGAGGGTCATGTTAAATTTGTCTCCCCCACCACTACAATGAGCTATGCAGCATCATGAGGGCAAGTGCTGGAGGAGTCAAGCAGTCTGCCCCTCACCCCGTGCCCCGAGCTGCGGCTCTGGGTTTGACTCTGGCCCCAGGGCACAGAGCACATGCTGGCTCCCGGCACAGCGCTGGCAGCCTTGGCCGTCAGCTACGGCTGAAGCTGCCACCCCTGCTATATCCTGATGAGAGGAAAAAGCCATTACGTGCTCCTTGTCTGGGGCTGCAGCAGGCAGAGCCGACCCGCAGCACTGCCTCAGGGCAAAGGACAGCGGTGGGAAGGGGGAGCCAGCCTGGCCCGCATCCACCTCATCTCAGCAGGCGTCAATATGAGGCAGCGCAAGAAAGCGTCGAACCGGCCCCAGAGAGCAGACAGACACCGTGCGCGGGCCGGGCTCCAGCGGCTCGGCCGGGCGCTGCCCGCAGACGGAGCAGCGCGTCTGTGCGGGGCGAGCCCGAGCCCGAGCCCGAGCCCGCGCTCACCTCGCAGCGCGGCCGCCAGCTCCAACCGTCCCGTCGCGGCCGCCATCGCCTCCCGCCGCGGCCTCACATCCCGCCCCGCCACCTCATTGCGGGACTGAGCCCTCCATCAACGCAACCCCTTCTCCTATTGGGCAGCCTGCCGTCGCAATGAGCATTCTTATTGGATGCGGACGCGGCCCGTTCGCCAGGGGCCGGGAGGAAGGAGGAGGGGAGGTTCACACACACTACTTTTATTGGCCAGACGGGCGAAGCGGCGGCACGGGGCAGAAATGATGCCCCAGTGCTCAATTATGATTGGCGAGTTGCCTGTCGATCAGCAAAATCGGAGGCGGGACACAGCGCCCGGAAGGGCGTTTTCATTGGAGGAGCCGTCTGACGAGGGAAAGGGCGCGAGAAAGCTTGCATTCAAATGGCGGGCGGGGCGGGGGGAGCTCTTGCACTTGCCTGCGAGGAGACGAGGATTTCTGAGGTGCGCCCTGCTATTGTACCAGCTACGGAGTTGGTCTAGTAAGAAATGTCACCCTAAGGAGTCCTCGCCTCACGTGTTCTGGGGACTGTCACGGCGACAACATCGCTCTTCACGCTGCTATGAGAACTTCCGAATTCCAGGACCAATATATTTCCGATGAGTTTATAAGGATGTGTTCTGGTTTACGTTTCTTTTAGAGCAGGGATATCAAACGCGTCTAGCCCCACAGGCTGGGTAAGTCGCACAGAGACGGTCGGATGAGTAGCGGGGCTGATCGGGGGACCAGAGCCAGCCCACAGACCAGCTCTGCACTTTGGATCCAGAGCACGGGGCTGCTCCAGTGCAGGCACTACAGGCAGTACGCGTCACATGTAGTGCAAGTGCTGGACCTAGCTCCATATGTGCAGGATCTGGCCCATGCAGCAGATATGTTACAGCACAAACCAGTCTGAGTCTGCAACCCTGGTCCAATCTGAGATCCCGGGACAGCAACATGGTTCAGATGATAGGCCACCATGGGTCAGATCTGGCACGTGGGCTATAACTTCTGACTCTTCTTTCCTGGTGCTTACTCCCTGGATGAGTTTTTATATAGAGAACAATCACATCCCCTCTCAGCCTTTCTTCTGCTAAGCCAAACAAGGCAGCAGCAAAGGAAGGAGACTAATGGGCTACTTGCAAACCCCTTTTTACAGCTAGCATCTGATGACCTCCAATGCTGCAATGACCAAACAGAGGAAGGAGAGGGAGTTGCTGGATTCATTTTTATGTACTTAGCTTGCTATAGTTTGAAAGTGATAGGGATGATTTGCTGAAGGACTTTGAATAAGCTAAGTTATTGTTGGCGCAACTTGCTTGAAGGTTAAATGCAGATGAGTTTCTGTCTTCAGCCATACCCTGTTGCCAAAAGCAAAACTTGGTGCCTTCTGATTGATGCTGCTGGTCTGCATGATTAGAATCATAGAAAATTAAGGTTGGAAGGGACCTCAAGAGGTCATCTCGTCCAACCCCCTGCTCAAAGCAGGACCATCCCCAACTACATCATCCCAGCCAGGGCTTTGTCAAGCTGGCCCTTAAAAACCTCCAAGGATGGAGATTCCACCAGCCTCACTAGGTAACCCGTTCCAGTGCTTCACCACCCTGCTAGTGAGACAGTTTTTCCTAATAACTGAGCTAAACTTCCCTTCCTGCAACTTGAAATGATTGCTCTTGTTCTGTCATCTACCATCACTAAGAACAGTTTAGCTCCATCCTCTTTGGAACCACCCTTCAGGTATCAGATCCCTGCTCACTCTTTTTTTCTGCAGACTAAGCCCAGTTCCCTCATAAGCCATGTGCTCCAACCCCCTACCCATTTTCATTGCCCTCCACTGGACTCCCTCCAATTTGTCCACGTCCTTTCTGTAGGGGAGGACTCAAAGCTGGACATAATACTCCAGATGTGGCCTCACCAGTGCAAAATAGAGTGGAATAATTTCCTCAATCTGCTGGCAATATTCCTATTAATGCAGCCCACTATGCTGTTAGCCTTTGTCATAACCCAATGATTTTAAGTGCCTCGGCACATGGAATTTTTCTCACCACATGGGAGTCTCTGTGCACAGCAAAAGTTTTCTGTTGCAATAGAAAACTCCGGTGCAAGAGAGTTCCCGCCATTCGTATGCAAATTTGTGTCCTATCATTGGCCAATTCTAAATTATTCCTACGTGGTGGCTAGCGATTGGCTTGTTGGCCGTATAAAATTCTGTGCGACTTCCGCCCAAGTCGGAGAACTTTGAGCACGCTGCAGAGTGACTTAAAAGAATTCCTGACTCGTGGCAGAGTGAATCGATAGCCTGATCAACTATCGATTTTTCTCCCCGTCGCCAAACGCTATCCCTCGACGTACCCCTTTTCCTGCATGCCTGGTTCGTTTACGGATTCACTGGCCCGGGTTTTTGCCAGCTGGAGCAACTTGTGTAATTATTTAAGCGATCGGACCACCTGCGTCGCGGCTACTAGCGGCGTAAGTAAAGCCTTTTTGCAACCAATACGTTTTGTCTGCCTCTCCATTCACCAGCCCGCCCAACGGCCAAGCAATTTGTAGATCACCTCAAGTCGGCTCCAGCCGTCTGAGACAGCCTTCCTGGCAACAAGGGCACACTGTTAACTCATATCCAGCTTATCGTCCACTGTAACTCCCAGGTCCTTTTCTTCAGAGCTGCCTCTTAGCCAGTTGGTCCCAAGCATGTAGCATTGTATAGGATCCTAGCATCTTAAGTGTAGGACTTCGCATTTGTCCTTGTTGAACCTCATGAGATTTCTTTTGATCCAGTCCAATTTGTTGATGTCACCCTGAATCCTAGCCCTATTCTCCAGCATATTTACTATTCCCACCAGCTTGGTGTCATCCACAAACTTGCTGAGGAAGCACTCCATCCCATCTTCCAAATTGTTAATGAATATATTGAATAAAAATCAGCCCCAGGACCCCTGGGCCACTCTACTTTATACCAGCTGCCATCTAGACATTGAGCTATTGATACTGTTGAGCCCACCTATCTAGCCAGCTTTCTATCCACCTCACAGTTCATTCATCCAACCCATACTTCTTTAGCTTGCTTGCAAGAATGCTGTGGGAGACTATATCAAAAGCTTTGCTGAAGTCAAGGTATATCATGCCCACTGCTTTCCAAACATCCACAGAGCCGGTTATCATTATAGAACATAATCAGGACAGTCAGGAATGACTTGTCCTTGGTCAATTCATGCTGACTATTCCTAATCACTTTCTTCTCCTCCAAGTGCCTAGAAATGGATTCCTTAAGGACCTGTGCCATGATTTTTCCAGGGACTGAGGTAAGGCTGACTGGTCTGTAGTTCCCTGGATCCTCCTCCATCACTTTTTAAAAGATGGGCACTATATTTGCCATTTTCCAATCATCTGGGACCTCCCCAAGCTCCAAGAGTTTTCAAATATAATGGCCATCAACTCTGCAATCACATCAGCCAATTACTATAAGCTCTTATGGAAGAGTCAATATGTTATTTCTGTTCAGTGTTCAGAAGTTTCATAAGTTGATGCTAAAACTGCTTTACTTGCCTCTTGGTAGCAATGCTAGATTGTAAATCATGAGGTCTGAAAGAAAACAGTCAAACAGGTTTGTGCCTTTTCCTTAGGTAGGGACTCTAGGATGAAATATAACATTAATTAGCTGAACAATGACTAGAACAACTGTTGTCTTCAGAGCTGGGGAGGTCAACAAATGAAATAGATGGAAGTGAATATCCCAGGTTGAAATGTGGTTGTTAATGGCATGAGGGGAAATGATGCATTTCACAGTGTGTCCTTATTAAAGAATATCCTTGGCCACCAGAAATGTTGGGGCACCTACTTAAATGTTTTAAAGTGACAAAAAAGGGATGGGTCATAACAGAGTTCAAATATTTTGGAGTCATGACTGACCATGTGGGACATAGGTGCCATCCTTGAAATGGACAATGCCATCTTTGATCTGGAAATTGAAGTCAGAAGTTTGGCCATCAGTAGAATTCTAGTCTGATATGAATCTAACTACAAACGTATCATCGGATAACAACAATCTGAAGAGTAAGAAATCTTTGTTTGCTGTAGCACTTGCTTAATTTCAGGGTTTTAATTTTGTGTGGCATGCTCTTAAGTTTGAGGTATACGTCTTCTTAAAAGCTCCTTGTCTGAAGTATTCACCTTCATGAAAATGCACTAACATTAACATTCTTGACCACAAAGGGGTAAGTAAGGTTTAAGGTAAACCTGGAGAAAAACCAGGACTGTTACATTTGGCATTGGTTCAGCTTTCTCAGCATACAAATATTTTAACTTTTTGTTAGCACCCGAACTGAAAATGAATCACCCCTAGGGTGATGAGACCACTCTTCAAAGTGGTTCTTTGCTGGCCCTGGAGTGGGGCTTCCCATGCTCAGATATTCCAAGATTCTTGGCATATTAGGAGCCCCTGGTCTCACCCTGCTGAGTTGCATAGATCTGGAATGTTTTCACTCAAAAGACCAGAGTCCTCAAAACAACCATACTGACCTTCAATATGCTGAGGACTGCACCATCCTTGTGCACACTGAGAACAACCTCCAGACCACGCTGGATCTGTGGAGAAGCCTACTGAATTTTGCATCTCTCAACATCAAGAAGACTAAAGTAGTCTATCAGCCTGCACTAGGCCATGAAATTATCACTGAGGGAAAGACCCTGGAAATAGTCAAGCACTTCCCATATCTCAGTAACCCCCTCTCTCAGAGAGTGAACACTGATGAGGAGATCCAGTTCAAGATCTGGAGTGCAAGTGTCTCCTTTGGGAAATTGCTTTTATTTGTCTTTAATAATTGCAATCTCAAGAAAGACACCAAGATCTAGGTCCATGATGCAGCCATTACCCCTCCCCTCCTATTACAGATGTGAAACATGGGTGGCCTACCATCATCATCTCAAGAACCTAGAGAGGTACCATCAACAATGCCTCTGGAAAATCCTCCACATCAAATGGGAAGATTGCTGTACAAACACCAGCATCCCTGCTGAAGCCAGTGTTACCAGCACTGAGTTGGTAATTCTCAAGTATCAGCTTCACTGGACTGGACACTGTGCATCTGTAGCAAGTTGTGCTCCAGGGGTGGCCCCCTGGTGACCATGCAAC